TTTCAAAAGACCAGTGGAAAACAACTCATGTATATCTCCAGCAGTGGACACATGTGACCTAAAGCAATACTTCACCCCCTTGATCTTAGCTTACCAGCAACCAGAGTGGCAATCAGAGAAGCCAGGTCAGAGCAGATCTGTCTTCATAAGGATTCTTACTCTGCACCCACACAGTTGCATCCACCCACTTATCCTGACATTAGTTCTTAGTGGAGAAGACTTTGGTGCTGTTTAGCAGATGAAGAAATACCGACAACTGTATCCACAGGTGGCTTCCTACCCTTAGGAAACCTGATGTCTTGCTTGCCCAGGAGCCATGACTGAGCCAAACAGAGCACTTGCTAAACATGTATGATACGTTTATGATAGGTTACTCAGCTCTCCACCCAAGCCCTGCTGGCCCTCAGCTGGGAGGCAGGGACAGGCAGGCTCGGCACACGGCTCGCGAGGGGAATCGCCCTGCGCCGCCTGCATGCGCCGGGCTGGGGAGACTCAGAAGTCTACAGAGATGGTCAACGGGCTCTACTCTTCCTCCAACCAAGACTGGAGCACCTTCTAGGTAAACACTGTGCCTTTCTTAGCATCTATTAGCACTGTGACAATGACTTTGTGTCTCTGACTGTTGGGTGTTCCCAGGAATCACTAACTCGAGTTCACCCAGCCTTCTGCAGCTCGTGCAGTTATCGATGGCAATTCCAAACCTGTTGTGCTTGCTGCTTTTGTAAATGAGACCTCTCTGTTTTAACTTTACACTCAGTGCAAGTCCTTCCCTGGGGCTCTGAGACAGACACAAACACCTCAGTGTGAGCCCCTTAGCCAGGGCTCTGAGGCAGAATTCTCAGGCATACCTCTGACTTGGTGAAACTGCTCAGTGCAAGCCCTTGGGCTCTGGCAGGCATGTGTCACACACCCACCCTTAATGTGACAGCTTTAGATGTGGCACAGAACTGTCCTGGGGAACATCATGTAGCTTATGGTGGTAATGTGTCCCAAGAAACTGCTCCACAGCTGCAGGGGAAGCACTGTCTCTACCCATGCTCCTTGCTAGCACTCAATTCTGAGGCCAAATGAGTTTAAATACCACTCTGTGGCCACAGGAAGAGCTCAGACATGGTTCTTGGGTCCATAGCACTTGTTTTTAAGACATGTGAAATGCCAAGCCTGAAAAAAACAGTACCTTAAACAGTGGGGCTTCATGCAAGTGCAGATGGCTGGATAAGCAGCTGGGTGTCTAATTTTTGCATGTTCCTTTTTGAAATTTGATTGTTGCTTTTAAAAAAAAAAAAAAAATAGTTGAGGGACAGGTAACATGGTGCAAAGACCTAAAACTGCAGAAATGTATCAAACGGGCTGGAAAGAATGTTTTAGATGTAACATGAGGTTAGATACAACTGCACTTCAATTTAGAAGGCACACATGCACTTCCTGACATGTGAGCCCAAACATCTACAGCAAACTGAAGGATAAGAAACATCTCCCACCAAGCTCGGGCTAAGCTAAAACATACTATTACCAAAATATCTCCACATCTTTTCAGAACTATGGTTAATTCAAATCAATTCAAGTAACTTTTCTAAAAGGGCAAGTGCCACTTTAACTAACAGACAGCAACCCAGGCAGACTAACAGCTCCTGCCTTTCCCTCTCCCCTGAACTCTGCTGACCAGAATTTGGAAGTTTGTTTAGCACCATCATCTGCATGGCCATTATGTTTGGCCCTGTGAAGCATTCCACATTATTTTAGTATCTGCAAAGGCAGAAGCAGTAGAAGCCATTGCCAAGGATGGATGACTACAGGGCAACAGCTCAAGAGCTCTACAAAATCTCATATTCTTCAACACAACCTGACTTTTGTAGTACTCCAGGACCTAGGACAAGCCAATACATGAGGAACTGCCTCTGTGTATTACAGAAATTAATATACTTTCTTATCTTATGAGAGTTGATGGGAACCTGCTGGTATCTGCCCCAGCATGAACAGAAAGTACAATTCCAAATGATACTGGATGCAGTGTGTATTTAAGTAGCCCTGTACAGAACAGCATGTCACAGTCTGTCCAGCTTGGACACTGCCTTCACTTTGCCATTAAAACATAGAGATTCAAAAATCTGTACTGAGATCTCCCTCCACCATCCCCCTGTTGGCTTTTTACCTCTTGTGGGGTACAGTATCTGAAGAACTCTTCATCTTCCTGGGAGTCATGTACTTTATTGACTGTTTTTTCAGACCAAACAAAGCTAGGACTGTGGCTCTTGTTTCCCATCATCAGAGCTGCCAGTGGGTTCACCTCCTTGCTACAGGTCCTCACAACCTCCTTCATGCAAAGCAGAGGGAACCAGAGAGCCAGAGCACATTCTATCTGTGTTCAGGCAGATTACCCTTCTCCAGGACTCTATTGCTACAGAGGAAGGTACCCAGCAATCACACACACATCTGTGTTAGGAGAGTCCAGCCTCATCCAGCTTCCCAGAGCTCCCCTGGGCTGCTGCTGCTGCTCACAGGACCCACCAGCACCTGAGGCAGGTGCCCCATACCTGAAGCGCTCAATGTCTTCATCAGAAATGAGCTTCTTAATGAGCAGATACCCGTTGTCTTCATAGAACTGCCTCTGCTCTGTGGTGAGGACATCGTTGTCCAGGGGTGGCTGAGACAGAGGGGAGATGCCCGAGTAGGGCTGGGAGAGCAACAGGAGCTGTCAGGAGGTGAGACCCAGCAGGACAGTGCCCTGGGTGGATCGGTGGCTGCTGGGAAGAGGCAGATTGCTCCTGGGGAGAATCAGAGAGACCTTCCCCACAGCAGATGTCAAAGGTGCTTGGAAGAAAATAATTACAATTAAATAGGAATCGAAATTCAGTGTTTGGGGCTTGATTATTGTATAAATGAAGATACAATTCATCAAAATACCCCTGGCTGAGCAGCAGCACAAGCTGTTGCTGGAGCCACAGTTATTTGGGTATCAGTTCAGGAATATGCACTCAAGCACAAGAGAGTATGAAAACATTCCTGCAGGGCACTGATGCCCCTCCAGCCACCTCCCAGGGAAAGCACAGGGAAAGGAAACCTCCAATTCATTACGATCGGTTTAAGCAAACACAACCATGTTCTGCCCAGTAGAGAGAGCACAGACTCACCCAGAGGACAGTTACATCTCCTTGCTAATGAAGCTGCACAAGTTGGTGCATGGCATTGAAGCCTCACCCAAATGAAGTTCCCACCTTCGCTGGCAAAGGGGCACAGGAGGTGTGGGCAGGACACGGCCCATGCATGTGACTGCAGCCAGTGGGGCGAGTCAGAGGAGGGCAAAAGGGGCGAGAGGAGCAGCTGAGGAGGGAGATGTGAGGAGGAAAAAGCTCAGGGGAAGAAGAGGCACGTGCAGGGTGCAGGCAGTCCGTGAGAGCAGGGTGGGAAGCACGGCAGCAGGTCTCAGAGCAAAGGATGCTCGTACAGAGGGCACTGCTGCACCGAGCTCAACAGGAGGTAGATGCTCCACCCCTTACTTCGGGTCCTAATCTTGATGGAAATAGGACTCATGGCTGCTCAGATCCTCCACATGTCCAGGGTGCTGCTCCTACTCACAAAACCTCCAGGAGGGCCTTTCCCCGTCTCTTCAGGCACCACAGAGCAGACACAGGCACTGGCTGAACCCCACCTGTGGTGCCCTCCTCAGCACACCTCTGCCTCCCAGAGGTGGTGGACAGCAGACAAGCTCACCAAGCGCTGGGCTCCATTTGAACCCCTTCCTCCCAGGCTTTGCAGTGCCTCTTCCTCTCGGGGTTTCTCCACCCCGCCTGCTTGAAGAAGCATACAGCCAAATCCCACCCCCCGCAGACACTGCAGGAAGAGGAAGAGGCACAAGCCCCTCCTCCGAATTCTGTTGCCATGTATAAAAGGCTGCAGCACCTCTGACTTGCAGCCTCTTGCCTGGGCAGTGCACCACTGGGCCCTGCGGGCTGAGACAGGACCGTACGTGATCTCCTGTCTCACGAGTCCTGAGCCACGTGACAGCAGAGCAGGAGCCAGAACAGCCCATCAGTGTGGCCTCCCTGTGATCTTTTGGCACCTTCTCTGTGTGGAAGGGGGGTGGAGAAGAGCCAGGCTGAGCTGTTCAGCTCTGGGGTACTCAACGATGCCCCCACCACCAGAGTTTCTGAGCAGCAGAAATAACAACGCAGCCCTCGAACACAGCTTTGCTCTCATTTAATCTGTATTTCAAAAAATAGATTCTGACAGCATGAGGATCTTTCAGAAAGCAAGGGTAAAGTTTGTGAAAGGCAAGAGGATCATTTCAGTGCATGTTGCTCCACACCCTGCCACCAGTGCATCCTCAGGAGCCTCCAACCACCTCCCTGACCTAGCAGCACCAAAAGGTACCTTTCTCCCAGCCCTGCCAGACTCCAAGGGGGACTCCTGCATTTCACACAGCCTTGGATCAGTTGGGGAAGGCCAATGGGAGGCTGGTTTGCTGGCTCAGCATCTCCCCACCCTGGCAGCCACCTAACTGACTTGTGCAAGTGCTGCTTGCTAAGGTACCATGTCACACCAGCTCATGTTTGAGGACCTCTACTAACCATCATCTTCCAGCCCATCGATCCCATTTTTCTTTGTGAGTAGTTGTGGCTTCCACTTTATCCAGTTCCTTACACTGTTGATTCTCCTGGTAACAATACTCCCATCTTCATCAGCTGTATTAGTATGAGCTCATACTGAGGGCTTGTGTGACAATCTGGTTAACTATTTCTTTTGCATAGAAAAGGAAGTTGGAAACATTAAAAAACATACCTTTGCATAAATTCTTGCATAAAATCTTACATTAGTATAGAAGCATTCCAAAGATACATCATGTAAGGAACTTTTGAAAACCAAGAATGAAAACATCAGGAAAGTCAAGGTCTTCCTGCAAGACCTTGATTCTTTGATTTTCCAAGATTACCACAGCAAATCTCTGTTTTTTCTAGGTTAAGTTTTCTTTGATGTACATCAGCTGCTCAACCTCAGTACAATTATTTTGTATTAGCATAAAATGATTTTGCAGTGCAGCATTTGGTCAAGTCACCAATGCAGAGGTCAATAAAGCACACACCACTCTGCCTGCCCAGGCAGGGCCTGCACTCTCCCACCAGAGCAGCTCCTTCCCAGGCACCTGTTTTCCATCCTGCTCTTCAGAGGCTGCTCTACAGGTTAATTCTTTCCCCTTGTACAAGCCGTGCTCGGAAGTTCCAAATATCCTTCAAAACAAAAATGGGACAAAGGAAAAGCCTTAGAGGGGAGCAAAGCTGGCGACCAGCATTCCAGTTTACAGAGATGGAAATAGGTACAGCACCCTCAGCTTAGCTTCCTACCCCTAAAAACACACCAAAACATTTACTGCATATCGTTTCAAATCCTAAATATCAAGAACAAAACTACAGCCCAAACTAAGGAAAAGGTGCAACCTCCACTCCCAAGGAGACAGGCTGTTTGCAGGTGCTACATGGATGGCAAGACACCCATGGTTCCACTCTGGAAGGCAGCAGCAGAGGAAACATGAGCAGCACAGAGCACATGACCCTTGCAGAAGTGGCCCTCACCTGCTTGTGCAGAGTGCCTCCCTTGTGTGCCTCTGGGTGACCAAAGAAGCTCACCAACCAACTGCACCCTGCATACTGTGGCCAAGGGATGTTCTTTGTGCAGCAGAAACCAGCAGGAAGCACCAGCTATGAATGCAAGCCCTTACACAGAGACTAGGTTTGCCTCACAGAGCTCCTGCCTCAGTTTGCCTGTGTGGGGATAACTTAGTCCTCATCACCCGTCTTGTGAAGGTGAGATGTAAGAGCTGGCACTTCTCTGAGAGAAAGCTCCAGCTCTGGTTAAAAAAAGAGATTTGAGCTACACAAAACCACACGGACTGATCTGAGGCTTGTACAGGCACAATGGCATTTCCACTCACAAGCAGGAGAGAGCCCCACTACACATCCCCCCAGTTTTCACTTTCTACCTAAATAACTCCAGGAATCAAAATTTGAGCAAGATGTAACTTCACAGGCAACATGTAAAACAGGCTTGAAAACAGAGCTGGACACCCCACCATGCCCAGGCACACTGGGGGAAAAACAAAACAAAGCAGAAACCCCAAATGTGAAAAAGGAAATCCTCTCCTCCACAGTGCCCTAGATATTGCACTATCTGCAAAATATGTAAATTTCAAAAGAAAATTGCTGCCTACTACATCTAGACTTTACTGCCTTGATACTGGCTGTGCATGTGTTTGGGAGCTGCTGTGGATTAAGAAATTCAGAACATTCCCACCCCAGTAACAAGGTTTATTTTTCTTTCAGCAGCTGAATTCCCAAAGAATTTAGATTTGCTTTCTCTTTTACACAATGGTTTTAGTTATTCAGCAAGAGTCCATAACCCCCCACACCTTTTTTTCCTCTGAGGCAGATGTATTCTGCTGCTGACATACCTGCTGCAGTGTCAAGACTAAACAACTGATGTGGGATTATATTTAACCAAAAACAATCAGTCCACTGTTGCAGTCAGATGTGGCTTCTTTTTTAAAAGAAAAAAACACCTGCCATTTGGAGGGAAAACTGTAAAAACTGGACATACAAATGATGGACACCACTGAATTTATTGCCCCTCCTTACATTCACAAGCTGAGGGTGAGAGATGACCACGTCCGAATGTAACTGCAAAGAGCTCTGGCTCAGGCACACTTCCCACAACAAACCCTGAACCAGGAGATGCAGTGAGGGGCAGAGCTTGCACAGACTTCACCCTATTCCTGCCTTGCCACCTTAGCCACCCCCACCACTGCCCAGTGGGGAGAAGTGGAGTGGTGCAAGGAGCGCATGTGAGCAGCCTCAGAGCTGAGCCTTCACAGCAGCAGAGTCCACAGCTCCTCACATAGGCTGCAACATCAGGAGCAGTCACATAACAAAGTGCTGATCTAACCTCCACCAACTTAGCCAACATTGGACGGGATCATGGCACACTCACAAAGGCCACCTTGACAAGCAGAGCTGGAGAAGGAACTTCTAGAGCTCAAGAGCTGTGAGGGGACTGCCCAGAGAGCAAGGCCAGACTTGCTCCAGCACAGCAAGAAGCAGCCTTATCAGCACAAAGGCCTCCAAAAGCCTGCCAGCCATCCCCTCAACACCAGGTCTTTTACTCTGCCAAGCACCTCCACTTGACACAGCTTGATCTGCCAAACTGGGCATAGCAAAAAGCACAAATGTGTCATGAGAGAGACTGAGGCAAGGGAACAGCCCTGGCCTGTAACAAGCTCTTACCTTGAGCTCCACAGAAGTCGCGTTGTATTTCTCGTAAACCATTTCTACCAGCTCCTTCTCCAGGTGCTCCTGGGTTGTGTTCTTGACGTCAATGTAGTAGCACTCTGAGCTGGCAAAGTGACAGCTTATACTCTGTGAGGAAACAGGGATCACTCACTACCACATCCACTACAAACAACTGGTGGAAAAAAACCCTTGTGCACCCCAGACCATGGACACCCAACCCCACCCTCACAGACCACGCCAGCGAGCTCCTTCCTCCTTTCCGAGCACTCCTGCCCTCCTGAGAACGTCCCCCTGGAGAAATACTCTTGCTGGAGAAACACTCTTTGCTTCTTGACGTGCTCTTCTTCCTTCCCTCCTCTCCCAAACCCTCGCCCAGCATGAACTGTACTACCTGATCTCAGGATATTAGCAACCAGAGTGGGAACAGGGAAAGTCAAGGTTGGAGCAGACCTAGGTGTCCAGTAAGGGCTCCTACTTTCTGCACCCAGTCTCATCCAGCTACCTATTCTGTAACCAATTCTTCCTTAAGCAGAGTCTAGAGGAAATAAAAAGAAATCCCCCAACAGAAAAAACTGCTCACTCATTACATGAGCTCTACCAGCTGCAAGTGAGGTCATGTCAGATCTCAAAGGGTCCTGGACAACGACCTGGCTCTGAGAGCTCCAGTGTACTCACTGATTTACCCCAAAGGCAGAAAAATGGTGGGAGCTGGTGCAGTATGAGGAAGCTCTTGTCTTTCTGTGGGATACTAAACAGGATTACTGCTCCACTAGCCAGGAAAGGGCCAGCAGATGAGACTCTCAGTACCTGATGTCCTCGCTGCTTTTAGGATTGCAAGAGGAAAGAATTCAACATCAGTAAACTGCTACTGGGGCTGAAAGAATGCGCCATATAGTAGTCAATGCAGACAAAATAAAACAAAAATAGAGCAGCCTTTGTTGGAGCCCATGAGGGGAAATATCTGCATTGCTACTAGTGGCTATACTACAGGCTACAGTTCCTTTAGATGTCTGCATTAATCCACTCCTGAGAAAGGTTCAGGCCACCAAAGGAGGTCACTTTGCTTGTTTCAGTAAATAATCATGATGCAAAACAAACAGATGATGTGTAATCAAAACTTTAACAGAAAAATGGGTCATGTTATTATATAAATAAGTATCACTTATTAGGTGATGGGGGTTCCTACTACCCAGAGATGAGATACCAAGGGGGCAGGGGAAAAAAAGTCAAAGAAGCTCCTGATATTTGGAACTACTGGAAAAGCAAGTACAGGCAGTCAGGCTTCCTACACAGATCCAACATCCCATTTCTACTCCTGCTCTGTTTTTCTCAAGCAGCCCCACAGTGTGCTCTTCTCCCCAAAGACAGAGATGTTTAAAAATTAAAAAAAATAAAATGAGATTGCAAAAGTGTATTAGGAAGTGAAAAGCTCATTACAAAGTTCATCCACGTATTTATGAACCTGGAAAGGTGGGGGACAGTTTTAAAGAGTGAGAAATATCAAGAGCTGGTTTCCTACCTTTCGGAATCCTGACGTCTTGTTTATGCCAGAGCCATGAATGAGCAGGGGATGGAAGAACACCGTGTCTCCCTTCTCCATGACGAGGGGAACCCTGGGACTCTTCTCATCCTCATCAAGCAGCCCATGGAAAAGTTTATTAGTTTTACCCTAGAAAAAAAGGCTGAGCTGAAATCACTGGTTTAAAATCAGAGGAAGTGCTGATTCTCAGTGTGAGGGACAGCAGAGGCAGCTACTGATCTGCTTTCCTCTGGGCTGGTCGCTGTCTTCTGCGTGCCCAACTGACAGCCTGCCCACTTGCCTGCAAGTCTTCCTTCTTTAAGCCTGAGGTACAGCAAAATAATGCTTTTTCTATTTTCTGAACCTGGGTTTAGACTATTAGGAATATTTATCTTCTGGAAAGAACACAGAAGAGCACAAGGGAAAACCACAAGTGCAGCCTGATGCCACCACTGGGGTCCAGCCTTCTGCTCCCAGTATAACCATCACCAACACCAGGCCAGGTCAGGAAACATCTGTTTGTTAGAGGAAGGTACCACTTGATATTTAATTGGATATGGTTGTTTAGTATCTAATTTCTCCTCTTGGGGACAGTACACATGCTCACCAGGCAGGGATGAATTCACAGAATGAAAAAGAGTCCTCGGATTTGGCAAGGGCAGTGGAAAATTGTCACATGTCTTTATGCTGCTAAGCCACAACGTGCTGGACTGTTCCTAGGTGAAGGTGGGAGGAGAGGCCAATCTACCCAGATTACATGGAGAGAGGCCAACCAAGCAACTCTCTCCCGAAGCAATGTCAGTTTTTGCAGAAAGAGAAAAACCACCACTGAAAACATCAGCTTTGACCTGCAGATCACTCCTCCATGGTGAGCTCCTTCCAGCCAAAATGTGGCCCCCTCCTGCACACCCTTTCCAAGCCCCTCGTGAGGCTCTACCTCCCACTTTGGGTAGTCGTGAGGCTTCAGAGGCTCCCTGTGTGTGCCTGGGCGCACGACCAGGCAGCCGTTGTCCTGGTCAGCTCTCTCCATGGCTGTCCAGGAGCACACGATGAGGTCCGCGGGCCGGAAGGGAAAATAGTGCAAGTCCTGATGCATGGGGTGGAGAAAAGTCTGCTTATCTGCAACACAGGAGCAAAACCTTCAGTCTCATCACACACACCAAAGCCTTTCCCTGCCCATTAAACCACGGCACTTGTAACACTTCCCAAGGAGCTGCTGCTTGCTGCTGGGGAGACTCTGTGTACCCAGTGTCTGCCCCAGCAGCCAGATGGGTTAGCTTACAACCCATCCCAAGACCAAGAGCTCTTGGGTCAGTGATGGGGACACAGGGGATGCCAGCAGGCTGCTTGGCTGCGTGCCCTCTGTGGTCATTTGATCTATTGCTGTGTCACAAGCAGAGCAACCCTGTCTGCCCTGCACCCAACACATGTTGGTTGGTTAAGCCTTTTTTAAAAAAAAAAAAAAAAAAAACAGAAATCACAATTCATGGACTGCAGCCTCCCCAGCCTATCCAGCATTCTATTAGCTTTTGCCCTAGAGGCTTTTTTCAATGAAGTCTACACAAAAATAAATATTTTGAAGCTTTGTCACTTTCCACTATGGAAATGGAAACATACCATCCACACCAAAACATCTTTTTATATTATTTATATATCAATTTTGCCATTGAGTTTGTTCCTCAAGTAGATTCAGTTAGGATGTTTCCACTTGTCTCATTTGCCATATTATTTAGACTTTGGGCAGCACTGAAAACTCTCTTGAGCTCTACATCCCTCCTAAAGTACTCCTCACAGATACCTGGAGGAGCAGCTTTGCAATTCTTGCCCATTATTGTTTTGATTTCACTTTAAAAATATTTAGTCTTCTGTTGAATTTCCAAACGAAAATGACACAACTTTCTGTGGAGTGTTTAAGATGACAAGTGGAGATGACCTGAGCAAGCTCAGCATTTTAATAACACAATGCACTGTGTATTTGCTCAGAAGGTGCTCACCTGAGAATAAGAAACAGAGCACAGACCTCAACTTCACTTAACTGAAACAGCTTAAGCAGAGTCAAAGCTACTTTAAAAAAACTGTAAAGTCCTCCTCTCTCCCTGCCAATCACCCTTGTATAAATTATGATCTCAATTCCAGCAGCAGGAGACAAAGCCAGGCTTCAAATCCTTCTTTTGGCACCTTTGACATGAGCTGTATGACATGAGTGTCTGCAGCAACGGCCAGTGAGCTCAGGAGTGTGTAAACTCCAAGCAAGAGATGATCTCTGTATTTATTGCCTTTTACAGAGGTCTACAGAAGCAAATGTGGTTTTGACACATTTGAAAAGTCAAGCTTAAAAAGCTTGTCATGCTTTAAACCCTGGGCCTTCATGCAAGTGCAGCTGGCTGAAAGGGAGCCTGCTTGTCCACTCTGAACACGAGTGGTGCAGCCAAGACAACCACCATCTTCAGCAAACAAACATCTGCTGAACACTGAAAGACAAGAAATGTCATCTCATTGAGCCAAGGTAAACAGAAAACTATTACCAAAGTGGCCTTGTAGATCTTCAAAGTAATTTCATTTTGTCTCATTTTTCTCAAACAGCCTTTCTAAAACACTTAAGTTCAGTTTTGGCCAGGCAGCATACATACAATGATTTCTCTATTTGCCAAGTTTTCCTTACCAGTATCTGGAAGTTTATTTATCAGCATGGTGTGCATTGCCATGATGTTTGGCCCTGTGAAGCACTCAACGTATTTGAGGAGCTATAAGGAAAAAAGTGTTAGAAAAAAAATACTAGAAATGTGAAAGACAAGAGGAAAGATTGCTGAGGAAGCACTAGGATCTGGATGTTTGGCTGAGGGCTTGGGCACAGGAGGAGAAGGTTGGGATGGAGGGATACAGGACAAGAGGCAGGATCTGGCATGGCACAGAAATGGCATTTGTGGTAGAAGGGCCAAGTTGGAAGCTGGTGCAGCAGGCTGCTGGGTGGGGTTGAAACGATGGGGAGTCACAATTCCAGCAAGCTATGGCTCTCTGCCACATCAATACTGGCTACAAAGCTGGACCCGCCCAGAGAGCAGATGCTTTGCCTGGATAAAAGACATTCAGAAAATGTTGCTGATGTCCTGGCACAATTTGGGCTGGTCACAAGCCTGACTGCACCACAGGAGCAGGGGAGCACTGCTTTAAGTCTTCTGCTCTGACCACCACCCATCATTCATAAACAATGCTCTGGAAAGATGGCTTGATATTCCTTCCTCAGTTTATGTGAGTGGTGGGCTCTCAGGGATAAAGGATAGACTCTGGTGGAACCCAACAAAGCTTCCTCACATGGGCATTCAAATACAGACACCATCATCCAGATCCTTCCACCACCACCCCCGCTTTCACTGCATTTGGTTTATTTTCTTTTATTTTACCTCTGGCAGAGTACAGTATCTGAAGAGCTCTTCGTCCTCCTGGAAGTCTTGCACTTTATTAACTACTTTTTCAGACTGACCATACTGAGATCTCAGGGACTCGTTTTTCATAATCATTGCTCCTGGTATTTTCACCTCCTTTCTACAGATCCTCACAAACTCCTTCCTGCAAAGCAGAGGGGAGGTCTGTGTTAGGAGAGTCCAGCTTCATCCAGCTTCCCAGAGCTCCCCTGGGCTGCTGCTGCTCACAGGACCCACCAGCACCTGAGGCAGGTGCCCCATACCTGAAGCGCTCAATGTCTTCATCAGAAATGAGCTTCTTAATGAGCAGATACCCGTTGTCTTCATAGAACTGCCTCTGCTCTGTGGTGAGGACATCGTTGTCCAGGGTGTAGCTGAGACAGAGGGGAAACACATTAGAAGGGCCAGGCAGAACAATGGGAGCAACCCAGCAGGAAGATGGGGGGGTGTGGGCAGCAGGAGCTGCTGAGGAGAATCAGTGAGGAACCTCCCCACCTGCACGTCCACCTCGGCTCTGCAGGCCCACAGCGTTCCCCACATGGCAGCAGAACCAGTATGGTGTGTCCATGGCTGTGCAACACCTGCCCACAGCCACCCACCACTTCTGTGACAGAATCCAAAGCATCTCTCTCACGCCCTCCCGAAGTGCAGGAGTGAGCAGGACAGCTGGGATCAGCCCTCAGCAGAGATGTTGGAGCCCACGGGCATAATCTCTGCAGTCAGATTACCCACTCCAACCTCTTCTTACTTTGCTTTTAAGCTTTTTTATTAAGTTACCATTAAACAAAGGAGAACATACCCTTGAAAAATGAAAGCTACAAAATGTCTCACAATGAACACGTGTGCTAGGGTGGAACAAAGAACTGGGTTTTGCAAGCTGATTGTTTTGTTTCTCTCTACAAAGGAAGAAGCTAGAGCTTACCGAAACCTCGCTGGCTGAGGAACAACACTCACTTGGGCTGAAGCAGGAACACTTGTCTGGGGTGGAAATTAAGGAATATACACTCAAGCACAACAGAACAGAAGACCTATACACGTGCGTCCTGAATCCTACAACATGAGTGATCTTAAAGATAAGGGTTGTGCCCAACATTCAATTCCTGCTGTGGTTTGTTTTGCTTCTAAAATAATCTTGCCCACCTTTGGAGTAGAACGTTTTGCAGAGAAGTATAAAATAAGTTTAGTACAGCCTTGTCCATGCATATAGAAAATTCAGCACATAATGCCTGAGACTCCAGAGCAGTCCATGGGCCTCGACTCATCTCCCAGAACATCAAGACACTCAGTGCGATGCTCAGTGGAGATGTTTACTTGCCCCGTTTCCCTCCCTGTGCTCCACAGAGCAGCTAGATCTACTCAAAACCTGTGTTGCCTCCTAACACTGGTGCACCAAACTCAGACCCAGAAGTCATAGGGGGTGAACCTGGGACTTCACAGTCCCACGCAGTGGTGCAAATCCTCACCTTCTCCCCAGTTACTGCAGAGGTGAGGGCCCTCCCAAACGAGATGGGGAGAGCAGGAAGACAGACGAGCTATGGGTTTGTCCTCCACCTCAATTCATTGTGACAGGTTTAAGTACACACAGTTCTATTTTCCTGTGCAGAGAGTGGCGTTCTCATCAACAGAGTCATTAAACTCCACTTGCTAATGAAGCCCCACAAAAGCTTTGTCCATGGCACCGAAGTGTCACCCAGTGGCAAGGACAAATAAAGAACATTTTCATGCAGATCTCCGGGTCTGCACCTGCATGTCTGGAGACCCCTGTGCTTCAGGGTTTTATGTAAACCACAGACTTTTCTCCACTTCTCTCCTTTTCTCTATTTCTCTTTTAAATGTGCCACAAAAGCATCTGGAATAAGAAATAGGTTTCATCACAACAGTCGTGCCTGTGGTCCCTACCCCAGGAAGCTTAAATATTAGCGGGTCAAGACTCACATATGGTAGGAGAAGAAACACAGGCAAAACTCTGTAACAAAAATGAGCCAGAGAGAGGAAAAGGTGCTGAAAATTGAATGGAAGAGAGAGGGAAGGAAGAGGACATGAGGAGACCAGGCAGAAACCACCACAGCAGGTCCCAGAGCAAGGGGTTCCTCAAGTGAGCACTACTGCTCCACACACCACATTCCAGGTCCAATTTCAGTGAAAATGGGACTCCTGGTCGTTCAGGTTCTCAAACATCCACAGATGGCTGATGGAGACACAGGCACTGGTTGAACTCCAGCTGTGATGCCCTCACTACACCTCAGCACACCTCCACCTCCCCGAAGTGGGGGACAGCAGACAAGCCCACCAAGCACTGGACTCTGAACATCTTCCTCCCAGGCTCTGCAGCACTTCTACTTGTTTTGCTTTTGCCACCTGCAGTGCTCACAGGACAAGTTTGGGCTGCTTAGACAACTGAAAACAAGGGGTACACAGGATGAGAAGGAGCTGACACCTTTAGCAGCTTGTTTTGGTGGAGACATGGAATACTGAAACTTTTCTGTTTCCATCCCACACCCCTTTTTGGGAATAATGTATTCACAGGCCTGTCAGCCAACTGCAAAAGCAATACAATACCTGGGACCATTCAGAACCAAGTAAAAGCTTTGTGACAGACCAAGCACAGTCACAGCAAGATTCAAGATCCCCAGAAGCTTTTCTAAAGGTCTTCCACAGGCACCTGTCAAGGTGGCTTTTTCTCAGCTGCCCTCCCATAAGGAGGTAAGTGCTGGTGCTTCTGATGCACACCCTGGCTCCAAAGAAGTCTTTCCACATTCCACCTTCTGCTGCTTCCTCTCCTTCCCGAGGCCACGAGAAGGTATTATCGGTTATGGAGGTTTAAATTTAAATAGAGGATGCTCTCTTTCCTAGGCTGGGAAGGTCTGAGCCTGGGTGAGCTGGCAGAAGGCACCTAAGCCCTGCTGCAGGGCTCACTGAGCAGAGAGGGGAGGGTGCACAGGTCTGCACCCCAGCAGGGCAGTGCACAGACCCCACAGGCCTCGGGTGGCTTTCACATCTTGTGTCTTTGATGGTAACTGGCATTGCTATCAAGATATTTCTCCTTCTGTAAAAGGAGAGGCATATTCTGGGAGGAAAGGTGACTGTCCTGCCCAAATCACCAAAGCCAGAGATTAAAACAAAACCTGTGCACTGATGCAGCATATATCAAATTGATCTATTATTATTAGATTCTGCTGTTTACTTTATCCACGTGCCTTTCTTGCTCCAGTCCAGCTTAGTCAAATGTTTGTCCAAAGTTCTTTGCATCAGGACCACTGTAGCTGCATTTAAAAACAGATCAGCTCGTGCAGTGCCTCTATTTACTCTGTCATTACAACCAAGGTGCTTTTCCTAGCACTTCTAATTTTGTGTTACTGCTTGCACCTTTGTCTCACAGCAGTTTGAGGCCACTAGTATCCGTCTTCATATTGTAAATAAGTTTGAAGACTCCTACATCCCATTTGATCTCTTTACCAACTTATTATAATTCAGAGGGAACTTGTCAGCATTCAGCTCTCACCAAGAATCAGCAGCCTTTAAAAAATTCTGTGGTTTTTTTTTTTTTAAAGCAAGACTTATGGGAGCAGCTTTAAAAATACTACCAGCAAGCAGTCTTTATTTAAGTCTTTATTTAATTTTTGGAAACATGGGACAGACCACCATTAACACTTTTTTTTGCTCTCATTTCCTTTCTCTTATCTACCATAAAGCTGGCAGCCTTCAACATTTCCACCTCATTTCCCACTCACAAACCAAACCTCGATGTTTGTCCTGCTGCTGGTCTACCAGTCAGGTCTGTATCCCTCAACAAAGTTTGAGACTTGCTGTGCAATTGTAAAGTCTTGCAGATTTTATCTCCACCAAACCCACATATCTCTAGGAGAAAAACTGGCTGCAGGTAACCCCCCTACCCAGTGCTGGGGCAGATGTGCCATGGGGGGGCTGCGAGGAGGGGGACAGCTCATCAGACAGGATCAAAGAATCACAGAACGATAGAATAGTTTAGGTTGGAAAAGACATTTAAGACCATCATGTCCAAACATAAACCTTGTCCTACCAAGCCCACTGCTAAACTACATCCCCAAACACCACAGCTACGCGACCATTAGACACACCCAGGGACGGCGATTCAACCACTTCCCTGGACAGCCTGTTCCAGGGCTTGACAAAACTTTTAGTGAAGAAAATGTTCCTAATACCCACCCTCAACCTCCCCTGGCACAATATGAGGCCCTTTCTTCTTGTCCTGTTAACGGGCTGCAGGGCTGAAGCTCAGGGAGAAAGCGGCAGGCAGCAAGAGGGTTTTGGAGAGGGGTGGGACGGGTGCTGACCCCAGAGCAGGGGCCGGGGCTGCCAGGGGAAGCGCTGCCCAG